TCCCTTGGCCCGCCATGGAATAGGTGGGCAGGGCATGAACCAGGAAAGGCAAGGTGGAAGAGGCTTGGCTCTACCAACCCCTCACTGGCCAGTGTGGCTGAGCCAGTGGGTAGGCCCTCAGTAAGTAACTACCTGCCAGGAGCAAGGAGGGAGATAGGCCGGAATTGTGACTCAGAGCTATGTCTTTGATTTAGTGTTTTCTGAGCCCATTCCTGGTATGGTGTAACTTACACACACCCCCTTTGCGCAGTGTGTGTCTAAAGTCACAATCTAGCCCTGTCTGGTTATTTTTTACAGTGGCTGTGTAATGTGTATGCTATATGTGTCTGTTCTTACTGGCTGCTAAAATTCCTTTATTCTGACTGGCTCTTGTAGTCGGAATATCCAGGCTGTTTGCCAGCAGTGAAATATGTTCAGCTTTTTCTTAGAGTGAAGAAAAAAATTCCAAAAAGCAATGAAAGTGGATCTGTCCAAGTTCTGAAGGGGGAACTGTTTAAAAAAAAAGTTAAATTCTTCGACTTATCTTACTCCTTTTTATCTGTCTCCAAAACTCAACAGGGTTTTTTTTTCCTGTGAGAATTATTGGAATATGTGTCATTTCCATTTGTCTTCCCAGTCTTTTTATATTAATTCACAGATGCTATATAAGCAAAATAATAATAATAATAATTAATAATTAATAATTAATAAAAATTACAGCTCTTCTGGGGAGAAGAGGTTGCTTCACAGTAGGAAAAGAAAGGAACTGGAGAAGGGAAATGAAAGAGAAGAAGGTGGAAAGGGGGAGGATGAGGATGTGACACTGGCAGACCATGTGCCATCTCTTGCCAAGGCTTTAGGCCTCAGCTGAGCACTGACAAATTCGTTGCTGGAAACCAGTCCTGCTCACCTGTGTGTTAGTATGGTTAACATGGGTATTGGACTTATAACAATGTGTTTAGACTTTATGAAATGCCTGTAATTTGCTACATGTATTAATCCTACTTATAATGTCTGTTTCCCATGCTATAAGATAATGCTGACGTGTTTGTGCTATAGCTGTAAAATGTTTGTTCTGAACTATGTAGCTCGCCAAACAAGGAAAAACTGTACCTTGTGCAAAATGCTAAATCCCTATAAAAGGTATAACCTCTTGCTCATCAGGAAGGACTGTCAAAACGAAATGGGCCATTGTGGGACATCACAGTACAAAGGTTT